CTTTAGTCGGGAGCTTAGATATCAATTAAGTCACAATATTTCTTTTCGTGAATTTGGATTTGCGGCCCTTATGAACCTACAGAGATTAACAAATACATTAAATGATTCCCATAGCGCAAGAACCCTTTAAAGCACTGGACTCTTAAAATATATATATATACATATATATATATATATATATATATATATACCGCTTCTGGGAAACTCTAGAAATCCTTTCGAAGTTATAGGAAACAGTTTGCGGCGTTCATCAACCTTTTTTATACTCCGTGGAGTAAATCAACGTTTTTATGTTTGATTTAAAGGACTCTGACGCTGTCCTTTCGTGAAAAAAACATTTTGCTAAATTGTCAGACAACAGTGATATGGCTAATTTACTGAACCTCTGAAATTGTGAAAAATTGTGAACAATGTCAAATAACTTCGAAACCATGTCAGCATCATATTGACAAAGTCATACTGATTTTTTAAGAGGAATTCAAAAATCCCATCAGATAAGATAGTTCCATTTGAAATAAGAAAGTTCCTGTACCGTTCTGATATAACCGGAAAAGCGACCATCTTGAAAATATTTTTAAATGATACCTTTTGATCGATTATTCAAAAAAAAAGTAATGGATCCCGAATCGAAATTCCAAACCGTTAGTGAGATACTTCTAATAGTCCACTTAAATACACCACCCTGTATAATATACTATTACGGACCTATAACAGTTTTTACACTAAGCGTTCTTTCCCTTCAAGGCAAGTTTTCCGAACCCGCTTAAACGTATTAAAGATTTTTTATGGACTTTAGAGGCTATTAGAAACTCTTCAAAACTCTTATTGAGCCTTTAATTAAAGGCTCTATAACCCTTCATAAGGCTGCAAAATTTTATACATTCTTGGAGGGCCTTTGTTAATTATCCAGCGTTAACCACCGCCTGTGGAGAACTTTATCTTCAGACCAATTTCTGTGGGATCGGCGCAACGGTAAAGAGAAAGTCTTAAGAGGGTACCGTAAACAATTTATCGTTGTATTGTTGGTTTGTTAATAATTGTTGTGCAATTCGGTATTTTAAGTGTGACATGATATCCAATTTGCTGTTAACAGCACGGTTGTTTTCTATTCAATTCAAAAGAAGGAACCTTTAAGGTATTACATCTGTGTGTAAATTTTCGATTATTTATCAAAATTTGTCAATTTTCATGTATTCTAAAATATACACTTGACTGGGAAGAGTGTAATTTGAATTAGATTATTTATTGTTGATAGCTTCAGCGTTTTTACGAAACACTCCCCATTTACGGATCGAGTAATGTAATAGGGTGTTCGGGTTATCAAATTTCTAACAGAATTAATCGGAAAATCATATTAATGGAAGTTATATTGTATTATTAAACACGGTATATAAATCGGAAAAATCGAATGGACGTGTTAAAGTTTCGAATATAAAACCACTATAAAATAGCTTCGACGCCCTAAAAACGGAGAGCAAGCGCTGTAGATAATACCAATAACGCACAGACACATAAATCCAGTTACCGACAATAAAACAGAAATATTCTACCACTTAAAACTAGCAGAATAAAAATATCGGTGAGCTTCTACGATTGTTAATGCCTTTTGGACAAATTAGGTTATTATCAAAGGAATCTAAGCGAGCTTTAAGTATAATTTCATTACACTCTTGAGAGCTACTTTAACCTAAAGCTGTAGTATTCTCTTTTTAAATTAATTTTCTCGATTCCTTGCTTTGTTTCCTTTTTGATAATGCCTTTGAAAGTTTGACACCGTTCTAGTTTTCGTGATGCTTTATGCCAATGTTTCCGTTCCGGAAGCCGTTCCCCTATCCCTATGACAGAACAGGTTTAGAAATATAATAACCACTGCGAATTTTTGCTAATAAATTTTATTCAGGCAGTTGGTAATTTCCGAAAGAAAATGATGAAATGTTTAATTTATTGATTTTAATAACAATAAAAACGCCTTTCACATTGCCTTTGGTAGCATATCCAATTTTTGTCTTAGCAAAGTGGTATTTTAAGAAAATCATTGTTGTATGTGAATCCCTGCAACCCTTTTAAATCCCTACCGTGCGATCCTGCAAATGTTGCTGCATTTTTATGTAGATTTCTATTGAGACTCGTACATTTAAAAATTGAAGTTTACATTTTTCAGGCGTGTTTGTTGAAGCTTGAAAGCTTCGCCACTAACTCACTTCCGATACAATCATACTTTATACCAACTGCAGGGGATAGATTTTACGCTGTTGATTTATTCGCGAATGAAGTATTCAGCATAGATATTATCGTTTCCGTAAAATTTAAGTGTACTTCGAATGGTTTATTAGAAAATGCTTCCCAGTTTGTTGAATACACGTAGCATTTGGTATAGTAAAACGGTATTAGGTACTGGGGTCGTAAAAGTTGATCTTATTAGTTTTTCATAACGTCGACCCCGCTCATGTAATCGACTCGGCGGCGCTGCAATCTGAAAAGGGGGCAATGGATTCGTATCATCTGTAATTTCATATACCCGAATCAGTGTACGGTTTCAAAAAGCGTTCATGAAACAGATACAATTAATTATTTCTCACTCGGTGTAGGTGTATGCAACATTTGCCCTAACTAAAAATACAAAACCTCAACTCAACTGTGGGTGTAAGCAATTCTCCCACGTCCGTGGGAAAATTGCCCTTTAATCAAAAAGAAAAGTAATTTTCCTAATATAAACACGAGCACTCACGAAATTATAATAATACCCTAATGAGGTCCTGTAAAGATATGGTAACTAATTTGAAAACGGAGTAACTCCTAGGGGAGCAACCTTGATTAAAACTTTTTCGTCATAGTTTTTTTCCCATTACATGTTAATTACATTTGAGACAACTGTTCACGATATGAGGTTTAAAGCATATCTAATGGCTTCTGGGACCCGTTGTTTTTGTGGAAGTAAAATTTAATCAAGCTCCTGATGCATAGACTGCCTGCGACATCGTCTCCGACCAAACTTTCTGATCAAACATAATTATTGCAAAGTTTTGGACTGGTACATTGAAATTGAAATAGGGTTTTTGGTTACTGCGCTGCATCGGTTTAGAACAACTTTAATGAATTTTGGTACCGCAGTACACGCTGAGATATTAATGAAACAAGTTCCTATTCCTTTGGCATGCGATAATCGTGTATTGTTAACTGTAACCAAATGTAATGTAAAATGTAAAGTAAATGTTCAACATACAGCAATTATTTCATTGCATTAACACACTTGCACCTAATTCAATAGTAAATGTTAGGTTTGTTCAGGTGTCATTACGGCATGATATTGAACTATTGACCTTAAATCTAATGAAAAGCAACTGTTGCAATATAATGGCCCACATGAATAAAAGGGAGCATATGCTTATATTTGCAAATTCAAAGTAAATACTCGTAAGTGCCCCTTCACACTGGGCTGCTCAGCAGCTCTGCACGGCGTCCCGTACCGTGGCTAAGCAGCGCTACCAAGTCGCCCAGTGTGAGGGGGCACTTACGAGTATTTATTTTGAATTTTGCAAGGGTACAAGCATATTATGCTCCCTTTTATCCATATGGGCCAATATCACGCGGGACTACAAGGCTGAGAAATTTTTTCGTATATTCTCAACATGGCGCGAGAGTAGATGTCGGGAAAGTTGCTCCGTAATACTTTTGTAATTGGATCAATACACTGAGAAAAAAATATATTAATCGCAACAAAATTATTGCAACTTTTAACAAGAAATTATAGTTGAAATAGCCACAGCAAGAATTTCGGTAATAGTTACATAAAGATTACTGCTATGTTATTCTTGTTACAATTACAGTTCGTATTGTGCTTGTGAGTAAACTTCATTTTGTAACTAATACAGAGTAGTCATTTATACATTATGAAAATGGAAATGGGGCCTTGCTAACCGTTCTGTGCTGATAAAGAGAACATGATTGTCTAGCAACAAAATGGTTTGGTAAAGAAAACAAAGCGGTGCATTAATATAGCATATGATAATTGGTACTTTAAGCGTACCGTCGAATAACCAGTACCAAACAGTTTGGTGGTAAGTCATGTCGCAGAATGTGAAATTACACACGCCATCTGGTTCGAAATAACAGTTTTTCCTTGTATAGCAAGCAAGAGCTTTCTACCTGTAGCAACACACCACGATATTATAGCAACTTATTGCTGCTATTAATACAGAATTACTGAGAGACATTAACTATTCTTTACCGATAATCTCCCACGTATAGTACTGCTACTGTAGCTGAATTAGTTTATTCGTAGTAAATATCTTCACGGGTAATATACGTCCATTTATTTGTAAGTATAACATACCTACCTGTCCTGTCCTGAAATTAATAGGCTGCCTTTCCCGTGCACTATTGATCTAAAGGGGTGCTTTGAATAAATAGCAAAACTGTACAAAGATAGTGCTCGTAAAGTATATCTCTCGATATCTATATCTAGATTCGATGTCATAACTTGGGATGCTGAAAAACACTAAAATGGTATCACTACACTACGTACTTATACGTCCAAAATAACTTGAAAAATAGGTAAAATTCAAATCACGTCTTTTAATATAAGGTCGCCTATTTTCTTACCTCCTCCTACATTAGCAAGGGGCCACCATCAGAGTGAAATAGATTTTTGGCGTATTAAATGCACGTTGTTGTGTGAATTAAAATAATTGAAATGTTATCAAAATATCCGTGACAATTCTTTGAAATTTTGTGTGAATTAAAATAATTGAAATGTTATCAAAATATCCGTGACAATTCTTTGAAATTTGCGTCGAGTGAAAAGTAATAAGAGGCACAACTTGACCTATTTACAGGAGGCTTGTTATTTGTCAAAAGGCACCGAGATCACAGCTTACCGAGATGTTACAGTCACGTATATGGTTCGAAGGTATTTGTAATGACGTTAAGGCATGGCTGCCAAGCACAGTACATTCCAATCACATACGGATAGGTGATTGAAACATCTTGTTAAGCTGTGATTTGTTGTTGCCTCTTATTACTTTTCACTCAGTTACGACCAACCCTTTTTGTCCTTATGACATATGAGTTATGACCTCATATCAAAAAGCTGTGAAATATACTATATAAAAAAGCTTTGCTGTGATTGTATATAAAAAGCATTTATTAAAGTCTATAAACTCTACCTTATATAAATCAATAAATGAAAATAACACATTCGAAACTTAATAACGAATAAAACTAGGTAATAAATCCATTTTTGAAATATAAAGAAATAACTTAACTACTCAACTCATTTGCAAACTTAAAAAATATTTCGTAGGTAAAGTTAATCGGAATTATTTAAAGATATTCCCTCATAATAATATAATTTTTGCCATTTGGTGCAAAAATTAAATGATTGGGCGTGAAACAAGATAAACTGTCGTGGAATAGATAAGTTCCTTCTGCTGAGGGTTTAGGGTCAACTTCGTAGGCAAAGAAATGTTCGTCAAACCCAAGAGTAGAAAATATGAAGCATTTGTAGAGTGCGCCGTCCTCTGCCCGTAAGGCACCCAGTTTCCTTAGCTTCCACAAGTAAGGCTCTCCCATCATTACAAGAGTGGAGAAGTTTCAATATGTCCTACATAACAATAACAGTATATTAATCGATTTGCTCCCATGTTTATGCCATCGATGAGCATTATACAGGCGAGTATACAGTGTGTTTCAAAAAATCCGATATCCGATATTTTATCCACGTATAGTGCTCATGAAAAGAAGCCAAAAAATCTTAATAAACACAGGTCCGCAAACTAAGTGTTTCATAAATAGAGACTTTGTGTCTACATTTAAATATTTTTGTTTTCCTACATTGAATTGTCTGTGTACAAATTGAAAGAGGATCTATAAATTATTTTACGCATAAAGAAACCGTTTGTTTTAATAATGTAATTTGTTGAAAACAATACAAAATCAACTCGTATCTCTTCAACAAATTACATTATTAAAACAACCAAACGATGTTTGTTAATGCGTAAAATAATTAAGGCTCTGTAGTACCTTTTCTAAATGTTCTTTTTTTGACGAATAATAATAATAATAATAATAATAATAATTTATTGTCTCTGATCAACGTTATTGACATAGACATGGTCACAATGAAAGTTTGGTATAAAAAACACACATACACATAAAAATGACAAAAGAACAAAATATAAATATTATATCACATATTCTATCACATGTACATGTCAGTTGCCTTGTAAAAACATTGGTCCATTAGGTAGTTTTTAAGTGCAGCTTTAAATTTATTTTTATTTTTAATTTTTCTAATATCTGAAGGAAGTCCATTAAATGCCTTTACACAATTGTATAATGGACTTCTTTCATATTTGGCTGTAAAATGGACTGGGACGGTCAACACTTGAGAGTTTCGGGTGGAGTAAGTGTGATTGTCACCTAGTGGAAGAAAATAGTTCTCGTGTCTATTTGCATTTACAAACATACATAATTTGTAAATGTAAATACTCGGGAATGTGCCAAATGAAAACGTTGATAATAACTCTTAAAAAATATTTTAAAAATGCCGAAGTTTTGGTCGATTTTGCACGAACTTGCTATTTTCAAAAAGGGTTATACCTAGTTGGACGGATTAAGCTGATATTTTTTCAGACTAATGATAGGTATTGTTAGTGACTTGACACTTATTTTTTTAAATTTTTTCTCTAATTATAAGATATAAATTGTTAAAAATGATGCTTTTTTACCATTTATATCGTATAATAAGAGAAAAGATGCTAAAAAATAAGAGTGTTAAGTAACTAATAGAAGTACCAGAAAACAAAATCGGTTTCGTTCATCCAACCTTAACCAAGATGGGAAAGTATAAAGTTCGTGCAAAATCGACCAAAAATTGTTTTTACGGAGTTATTAAGTTTTTTTTTTTATTTCAAAGTTGTTAACGTTTCCATATGGTGTATAACGTATTTTGTAAAAAACAAGAACATTTAGAAAAGTTGTAGGAAAGGTACTGCAGAAGTTTAAAGCAGATGCTCTAAGTACTTAAGTCAAATGTAGGGAAACAGAAATATTTAAATTAAGGCACAAAATCAACTCTATGTCTGAAATAATTAGCTTGCGGACCTATGTTTATTAAGACTTTTTGGCATCTTTTCATGAGTACCTACTACACGTGGATAAAATATCTATAGGACCTTTTTTTGTTAAAACACCCTGTATAACGTACTTAAAGTGATAACGATATAGAATAAATACCTACATAAAAATGTATACTTACTCCTCTTTGTTCTTGTAGCGCTCCAAGATCCCTAGCCCCTTCTGGCTCGGTAGGGTTTAATGGTTCCCCAGATAGAGGTATATTATTGCCACTAATATCTTCTAATAAATAATCCTCAGTTGCCCATGAGGTACTCGCAATCTCGGCAGCACCGGGTATAACCTTATAGTAATAGAAACATCGATTATAAATTTATCAACATGATATGCCGGTAGGTTCCTACTTCCTAGCGATATCAAAATTTCTGTGAATTATTCCCGTTTTTTGGTTGATGATTATTGTTGATGTGAATCATCAAATAAACGAACCTAGCCACCAGTGATGTCTTCTTTAATAAACGAGGAGATTACGGCGAATAATGCAGGCGTTTTATCGTCCAGTCTCCAGTCAGTAAAAATACACAGAAATCAAGAAAATTTTCCTCAGCCAAACAGGATGTGCCTCTCTAAACATTTTTGACTTCATTTTTAAAAATATCTTATTTTCATTGGAAAAACGGTATCGACAGGATCAACGGAAATACTGAGGGAAATTAGGCAAATACACAAATTTCGTGATATAAACGACGCGTTCCGTTGGGACGAAATTTTTCAATTTTGTATATGCTATCAGACATTCGTGGACGAAATTTTTCCGCTTTTATAAGACTTTATAGTAGGTTTTAAGAAACGCCTTCGGACTGATTCAGGATCGATCAGATTCAAAATAAATAAATTTTGAAATCAAATGGAACCAAATGGATAACTACGAATAAGGTAATTTACATAGATTCGAACCCCTTCCACTTCACTAATAAATTTCCAACAGCCCAACGTTCACTATTATCATTGAATAATTTATTCAATGCTATTATGTACATATTTTAATTTCTTTGTAAATTGTTAGAGCCAATTTAAATCCACCGGCAATGCATCTCTGTTTATAATCGATTTAAATTTACCCTAAGAAATTTACACACACTACGGATTGCACCTCGGATTGTACTTACTGGTAATGGAGACGATTGTGGAATTTCGTTAATTATCATCTTCCAGTGATCCAAATGCCCCTGAAATTGGGCTCTGTCGCCTATTGAAGGTATTAGTTCTTTTACCATTTCTGGTGTTAGGAACGGTAAAGTGTCCTTTTTTACGTTTTGTTCTGAAATATAATATGATTAAATCCAATGTTTTCTGTTCTAGATGCAAAATATCAATTTGTTATGTTTGGGGTGTAATTCCTATGTCGCCAGTAGTAAATAAAACATCTTTACATTAATTACCTAAGTACCACCTATATTTCGACGAGATGTTGTCGTTTTCTACCTTTCAGTTTCTCCCTGGGATTGCAGAGGAAGACGCGTAAAAAATCTACGTGATAAAGATGTTTTATAAACATTAGGTAACAGCATTGCATAGGTACATTTTATTCAATGGTAACAGGTAACATGGAAATAAACCCAACAACCTTTCTTAGTCAACGTTTTATGATAATGAAATACTCGTACTTATACGTTTGAATACGTCGACATACTGGGGCAAACCCCACGTATGCAAATACGCCACCACATCTTCATCTGCCATTTCCGATACCGCACTAACTTTCAAAAACACTAAAAATATCTGTTACTTATGGCCACACTTTAGAAACGTTCGCAAATCGCAGTAACTAATGGCTGGTAAGCATAAGAACGCCAGAAACTACAGTACCTACTGCACGAACTGCGAAGGGCGAACAATGGAAATTCAACATCCTTAACAAAAAGTTGGATATTATTACACTGACGCTAATGCTTATAACAAATCACACGTAGGAAAAATACAGTAAAAATTGTACAGTATTCACTTTGTTTGTAATAGTAAACGAATGCTTTATTTTTTCTGTGCAGCAATATACTTTTGCTTCCATCAACACTTTGATTATGTGGGAGTAGCAAACCTAATGTTATGAATGCAGTATCAAATTATAACTTAATACCTTTGTAATAATAACTAATCGTGTGATAATAAATTCATACCATTCGGTAATAACAACTAAATGTATTTTACCGTAATGGGGGTGCGTTCAATACTTCTTGGTATACAACCAACACAATTTGTTTTTGTAAAGATAAAGAAAATTTTGCATCTATAGCAGAATACAAAATTACCGAAATTCTGGTAATATTATTTCTTTCTGAGTGTAGGTATGCGCATTTTAAAATATGATGCCTATACCGATTATTTTAGTACCTATTTCATATAGCAAACTAGGTACTAACTATTTATTATTTTACACTTAAAGTGATCTAATGCAACAACATTAAAAACAAAGAACGTGTACCTACACCACAATTAAAGCTAATGTTTGAATTATAAATGGGGTGATACCTACCAGCAAATAAACTTTTTGGATGAAAATCCAAACTTTCGGAAGTAATTCCTTCCGTCTCAGAGAAAACAGTAAAATATTACATGAAAGTACCCAAATGTAAAAATATAAATGAAATGTACCTATACTAACATTTATTCTGCAACATCGATCCTAACTTATATACACATCGGTATGTAAACATTTGCTTAAACACTCAAAATACAAAAATTGTGTAAAATAGGTACCTCTATAACTAGGTTATAAAACGATACCTACCTACTTATCCAACTAAATATCCACACCACAAAAGGATTAGACATGATTAACGAACGACAAAGCTTGTTCATGATTTTGGACGTCCTGTCCATCCGTCCGTCTGTATACATGATAACTCGCAAACGGTTTTAAATCCTGTTTCAAATATTACAATTCTGTTCTCAGTAATAGGTAGACAATGGTCAAGGGACTAACTGATTAAATTTTGGTCATGTGAACTTTCTGTGTTTATCGCTCGCGTTGTCTATATTGGTTTGAACAGTTAATTTTCAAAAGAAAATATGTTAGATACCCAACTTCTGAATAATTACTACCTACATACCTAATTGCTGATGTCTCTTTCCAATTAGATTTCCTCTCCACAGATTTTCTTAGGAAATTCTAAATAATTATGTAGCAAAATAAAAAACTTGACCGAATGCAATATTTTTAATTTACCTTATAATTGAATCACAATAAAATACACTTTCATTTTTACAGAAAGTATTTATTCTATACCTAAACAAAGCGGACATGTGGATTTGGATAATATTTTCTGTTGAACGTTTGACTAATTATATTGCCACTGACTTTCTTTTTAAACTTATCTCAATTTCATGTGTTTATTATATAAAAAATTCAAAAAAATCACGATACCTTATTTACTCCAGTTTGAACAATGATGATACAATAAACGTCCTTGAACTTTAGCCGAGTTCACGCCCGAGAAGTTTTTTTGAAACAGTTTGTTTAATATGTCACTTAAAATTGTCCTAGAATGCAACATATGGAAGTTTTTAGAGTAAAAGTGGATAAGAGGAATTATCCATATAAAATTGTTCAAAAATATGCCCTAAAATTTGCACCAAAGATGGATAAATATGTACCGTGTGTCCTATTTTGGTTGAGACTGCAGCGTATTTCAGCTACTTTTAAAGATAGTGCCTTTTTATGAATTTTTTCTGAGATGCAACACCCTATATATTTTAACGGCAATGTTTCACATTCTTTTTCCTGATTGCATTGATGTATTCATAAATGCATATTTTTATATAAATATATACACTATAGCATATAACATTATATTTTTCGAAATTTGAAATGGCATGTTTCTACAGTCATCCATTTTTATTGATTGGCATGGGCTGCCTTAGTTACCATGGATACAATAAATAAAACAAAAATGCCAACATTCGGTCAACTGCACATGTTGCACATGCCTCATCGTTACGGCACTGGTATCAAACAAAATAACAAGATACGAAGAATCGCATACGATTTTCAGTAGGGGAATTTTGTGCTACTCAGCTCGTATTCAGAACTTTTGATCCGATTCATATTCAATAGCACTGATACTTGAGCTCGTAGAAATCGATTGGCGAAGGTTTGACATCGCTGTCTCTCTTCGTTTTCGAGTTAGAAGAGAAACAGACGTACAGCCGAACAGTCCGACAGACGAACAAAACCATGATATAAAGGGATTTTTTTTCTTTCGAAAAATTCCTCTAAAATCTGGAACATTTCTTTTAAAATAACTAAATGTGGGCCAACTTTCGGTACAACAATGAAATGATATAAAATTTCATATAATTATTTAACTGAAACTGCCTCAATTGGTAGTCCATACATGCAGCTTTTCATAAATCCATTGGCATTAGTTTCTCATATAATAATCCACTCAGCCAGAGTCTACTGAAGTTATAGTAGGCTCTATAGACTCAGCTCGTTGTTGGACACTCTTCGTGGACTATTTTTTCAGCAGGTGTAAGTAAGTACATAGACAAATTATGCAATTTTTTCTTTTTAACTGTTCAACCAAGAGGAGATCACTAAAAGTACTTACACACTCTTAAAGTTCACAAAACACGTGGTATTTCCTTAAATGAATATTTTTGAAGTAGTTCGAAAATTTGAATGTACCAAAATTGCTTTTGACTTTTTTGGCTTGTGCACACATTTTCTTTGAAATCCTGGTACCTATTTCTCAGAAATTGCTTATAATATTCAGAAGCGTGAAATTTCACCATCCATTGTGATGCAAATGGAAGAAATGAGCTATTGAGATTTCATAATTTGAGGGGATAAGTTAAAGGGTGGATAAAAAAATCAAGCCGTGGATCCGGAACGAAGGTTCTAATCTTAAAAACTTCGAAAATATTAGTAAAGTATAAATTCCAGCTTTAAACCTAATTTTAAATTTGTTATTATTATTATTTAAAATGCGTTCATTGAAGTTTTCGATGACGCGTTCACAAACATCTGGTGAGATGCTGCTAATAACCCTTTGAATTTCTTCCATCAATTGGTGTATTGTTTGTGGTTTGTTAACGTACACTTTTGATTACACAAAAAAGTCGATCGTATGAGGTCATTCGTGGTTACCATGCAAAGAGATACTTTTTCACACGCAATTCCCAAACAGTATAGCCGTGGGTCTTTCACTGTTGTTTTGTAATACCCTCTTAGCACTTGGATGCGTTGCTCAGTTGTCATCTACTATATAATTTAAATATATTGCTGTTGCAATTTACACTTCCCGCATATATTATCCAAAAATACTGTAGAAATTGAAGGTGTCATTTATATTTTCGACAATATATTTCCGTAAACCTGTTGAAGTTGGAAAAATAAATAACCGGGAAGTTTCTTGTCACAGTAATCCATTAAAAAGATTAGTTTGAAAAAATATTTTTTCGAAAATTCAATATTTTTTATCGAAAGGACAGATACTTTTAAACGAGTTTTCGAGAATATAACTAACAAAATTAACATTAAATCAAACACTCTATTGATGTAGCTTGTAAGAGAGAAAGGAGATTGCAGATTGAGATCAATATCGTAAACTCAAAAAAGTAAGTGATATGCCTATGGAACGGTGGAGGGAGGAGGGGGTACCCTTTGTTCATCGAATGTAAAAATGGAGTCTATATTAAATGAGACTAATTCATACTCCCTTACAATTTCTTCTAGGATTAGAATGCTTATTTTGCGAAAAAAATGACTAACAGTTCCACATTTATCACACAATTTTCTTTTATTTTCATAACTCAAAAAATAATGTTGATACGTAAAAACTCCTAAAGTACAAACATGTAGTTTTTTTACAGAAAATATTTAAACAAAAGATTCCAAAAAAATTAATCTATTCATCTTGTAGCTCTGGAACTTTCATTCAAAATGGCTTTTGAGGAACTTAAAAATAGATAAATATAAATAATATAGATATAATACTAAATTACTTAAAGTTGCCGCTATTTAATTTCCTGACAATAGAGGGTGGTTTTAGAAATTGAAAAATGTTTGTAACTTTATTTCGCATACACTAGCGTATGTGGTATAAAAAAACCGCAAAAAATCCATTACAGTTTTTTTTGTGAGTCTCTTAATTTTTGAGAAATTTTAAATTCAAAAGTTAAACTATTTTGTTTTATTTTTTTTTAATTTACAGTTTTCTCGAAAAGTAAGCAGTAAGCACCACAGTGAAAATTAAATACAAAAGAAAGTCTTGATGAGCTGTACAAAAAATTCTGGTACACTTTTTGGGTTGGGTTCAAAATAAAGGCGCGAGAGGTACCTAAATATAGTCAGAGAATCGGAAGTTTTTAAACACCATTTAAGTACCTATGTCAGAAAATTGGGTGGTAGAAGGCACCAATCAAACACCTTTTTCAAATAAAAGGCCCAAAATATTTCGTTTTACCGAAGGTTATGATTTAAATAGTTTTTAAGGGACCAAAACGGATGGAAGGACGATGCAGCGGCCTTAGCATCAATGTTTTAGAAAATGCGTGAAACGAAAATTATGATGTCGACGAAGTTAGTCGATCCAAACAACGAGGAATGCAAAATTACTGCAGTCGCTGAGCAAACAACAAACATGGCCAATAAACCCGTGGTACCGTTTCTTTAAGATTTAAACAAAAAAATGTCTTTTTTTCATACACGCCATGGACCCTTAGTGTATTTGGAAACGTGTTTGGTTCAGGTGCAATTCTGCCACTAAAATTGACGAACCCCTTATCTGCGATCATATGTACTAATTTATCGTCTAAGTGCATGTCAACCTATCTTACTCCAGAATTTTGCAAGACAGTAATTATTATAATAAATAAATAAAATAATTTCATTTGGCATTGCACTGCAGAATGCATTTGCACATGGAAGAAATGACATTTTGTTATCTCTTGCAAAATAAAAAATTGTTTGTAT